GTGCCATTTTTCCTAAACATGAAAAACAGTCTAGCAACGAAGGACTGCGTGAAAAACGCATAGCTATCTTGTTAAAGTTACAAAATTATCTTATGAATTAATTATATTAAAGGAATCCAAAATGTATCGCACTAACGTTAAATCTTCTTCCCAGGCTTACCCTTCCAACAAGCCGCTGGGTAACTGGACACGTGACCTTGTCCTTCGTGTAGAGCAGTTCGCCAAGTGGGCTACAACAGCTCATCAACCAGTCATATTCTGGATGTCTGGCTTTACCTTCCCGACAGGTTTCCTGACTGCTGTCCTTCAGACATGCGCACGACAGAACAACATATCCGTGGACTCGTTATCGTGGGAGTTTGTTGTGTCTACTGTGGATGACAGCAACATTACTCAACAACCAAAGGTGAACTTGGTTTCTTTGGGGGAGGGGGCGGGCGGTTTTAGGACCTTAGCGCCTCAAAGTGTCATGAATGATTTACGGGTTACAAATCATGGAAAACACGGTTTTGTGCGAAAAAACTTCTTATTGAAAAGAACGCTCTCTATTATAGTACATTTTCGGAATAAACACTTGTCGTCCGCGGTGATCCGTGTTTTGGTAGACTCTGAAGCAGACCTACCACCTCTAATGGTGTGTGCTACTCCAAAGTCTTTGGGTTTTTTGTTTGTTTGTTTAACCTCTTGTTCGTTTCATATTTTTGCGGTTTAGGGATGTAACTGATTTGTCTTGTGTTTTGTTATTACAAGTTCGTGTTTCCATGTTGCCACCAAGGAAGTGGGGTTGTGATGTTAGATGTTGGAGAAAATTTCAAAATAAGACTCTCCGGTCGTAACATTAGGCGTGGCAGATTTTCCGACGCCCTACCTGCGAGCTCCCTCCAGCAAGCTCGTGTTACTAAACAAAGCGCAATACTGAACTAGCCACTCACAGCCGGATTATTTGCTTTTCTTGGTATTTTAAGGATGGTGTATGGATCCGTGGGTTGTTTTTAGAGGGAGCTGGCTGGGATAAGAAGAATTCATGCCTCATTGAAGCCGAGCCCATGCAACTAGTTAGTGCCATACCCACAATCCATTTCAAGCCTGTTGAGAACAAGAAGAAAAGTGGAAAAGGTTTGTTTTACTTTCTCAGTGCTTTCACACCAGGAGTTATCCACAAAAAGTCTCGTATTAAATTTAGAAGTTATTTTTTATTATTACAGTGGAACCCGGTAAATACGGACACCAACGGGACAAGCCCTAGTGTCCGTATTATCTGGCAGTCGTATTAAGAGGGCTCCCAGATAAAAAAATGAATCGGACACATTAATTATCGATCTTAAGTCTTAAGCAGACATTTTTACGCCGAAACGTTGTTAATTTCTCAGCAGTAACTGTAACAAGTTCATCCTAAAGGATCTAACGATGATTTATAATAGTCTCAGACTTAAGCTTTACCCAGTCGACCCTGTACGGCGTTTCTCGGTCAATTCACTTCGGTGACGTATCCGAGGCGCACGGGCCTCTTCGCTCGGACCACGTGACCCAAAACGCATTGGCCGCCCGGAATAATGAGACCTAGGGACTAGGCACACTTCCTTAAACTATCTTCCAAGTGTCTGTCTTTAAATACAACGATAGAATCCATGACTTGACTTTGCACAGACGTTTTTAGTTTGCGACAAGGCCCGGAAGACTGAACATTAAACAGAACCTTTCAAAGCTCATTCACTGTTTCTGTTAGGTTTTCACCGGTAAGATATTCAGTCACAGTCATAAACAGAGCGCAAGTTTGACGAAATATGGGAATTTGTGACCCGGGACTCATAAAAGTGTCGGTTGTCCGTATTAACTGGTGTCCGTATTAAGCGTGTTAATTTTAAAGAAATATATGAGCTTTTCGCCGGGACAAACGAAACTGTACGTTATATAGGGGTGTCCGTATTAAGCCGGTGTCCACTGTACAATGAACAGCAACACAACAAAGTACTGAAAAAACTGATATAAAGACGTCAACTCACAGTGTTACTTGCCCTGTGGGACAAAAAATTAATCTCAATAAACTCACTCGATCATCCTTGTTTAAATACTTTGTAGGTGTATATGCCTGCCCGTGTTACTACTATCCTAACCGATCCGGCACTTCCGGTCGAGCCTCCTTTGTAGTGGCCGTGGACCTAAAGGCAGGTGCTATGACGTCAGACCACTGGATCAAACGTGGCACAGCGCTCCTTATGAGTCTTGACTACTGATGTTTAGCGGTTTTTTAAAGAACTCGCTGTTCGCGTAATGCGCAGTTATGTGACTTTTAAGTAGGGTGAATTTGTTTACAAAGAACGTTCACTAGAAACTGTTAATGGTAATTGTAAATTTTAAAGAGTTTTTGTAAATATATTCATTCGCTCTGATTTCTACTCAGTTCAGCAATACGAACTGTGTAAACTATAAAAAAGGAAGCGTTTTTAATCATATTCATGCGTGATCTAACACAACCAAAAAAAACGTTATGCCTTAACAACAGCGTGCAGTTTTCTCTTGAAGAGTGAAGTTATTTATTAGGAATGTATTAAAGATTATCTTTTTAACATATTGATTTACTGTATTGATTTTTTTGTAAAGAACATTTATCAGTAAGATTGCATGTAGTGATCGACTAAACCTAAGTAAAACCTCTTCAAAGCGCAACAGCCATCTTTAAACCTGATACGAGACAGAGAGCAACTGGGCTACCGTGCATCCTTCCCACGACGCAATGCGCCCATCATAAAGAGTAAGGAGCGAGGCTGTAAAGTTTTGGGTGGTGGTTATGGTTTAGGGTTAGGGTTAATCCATTTCTTTGAACAGCACATACAAGCTCTTCCATCATTGTCTGATAAACTGCAGAGTTATTTGAAATGTTGCTGTTCAATGTTCAATACACTTTTGATTCCATCAGGATACAAAGCTGAATAAAGTAACCTTTTCAAACAAATCAAAGCCCTTTGGATGAAGGTGGGCCGATATTCTTCCCNAACCAAAAAAAACGTTATGCCTTAACAACAGCGTGCAGTTTTCTCTTGAAGAGTGAAGTTATTTATTAGGAATGTATTAAAGATTATCTTTTTAACATATTGATTTACTGTATTGATTTTTTTGTAAAGAACATTTATCAGTAAGATTGCATGTAGTGATCGACTAAACTCAACTAAAACCTCTTCAAAGCGCAACAGCCATCTTTAAACCTGATACGAGACAGAGAGCAACTGGGCTACCGTGCATCCTTCCCACGACGCAATGCGCCCATCATAAAGAGTAAGGAGCGAGGCTGTAAAGTTTTGGGTGGTGTTTATGGTTTAGGGTTAGGGTTAATCCATTTCTTTGAACAGCACATACAAGCTCTTCCATCATTGTCTGATAAACTGCAGAGTTATTTGAAATGTTGCTGTTTGAATGTTCATTACACTTTTGATTCCATCAGGATACAAAGCTGAATAAAGTAACCTTTTCAAACAAAACAAAGCCCTTTGGATGAAGGTGGGCCGATATTCTTCCCTGTCACTAGTTTGATTGAAACGATCTCCTGTTGTTGAAACATTCTTCTCCTACAGCCTACGATTACCACGCAGAGGTTTTTTGGGGTGCTTGGAACGCGCGAATAAGACCTAAGAACGGCTGCAGTGTGAAGGAGGCTAATTTTTCTGTTCTTGCCTTCACAAAGTTTAGAGCAAGTGCACCTCACACTTTGTAAAGCGCACTTAAAGTAGTACTTGTCAGTTTTTTTCGAGACTTTAATATGCGTCAACCGCCAAGTTTGTTAAGGTTCTTCTCTTGTCCATAACTCTTTTGGCAGAAATCGTTAACGTTCTTATATAACAAAAATGTTTTACAGTCACCACTTAAACAACAAACTACTTATTCAGCAAAAGAATGTACAAAGAATGATTTGTACGCGCCCCGCGTGTCAGTCCCATACAACCTGTAGGTAAGTGACGGCATTTTTCTCTCGATTACTGAACCCAATAGACTAACTTCTAAGCTAAACCCAACAGACGCAACGGATGAGTATCACCCGGACATTTTTAAGTCGGATTCTTTGAAGGTGCCAAAGCTGCAAACTCATTGGCAACATCTATAAGACAAAGTTTGTCTGTTCTCTGCTTGTGGGTATTAAGTATTGTCAGATTGCTAAATCTTGTTTGTGTCATCTTCGAGCGTAGCCACGTTTTCAGTCTCCGAGCAGAAGAAAATTATCTCTCGCCTGCTGCACTGGTTGCTGGATTTACAAGAAGAAGTTTACATAGGGTTATGATTTCAGTTATCATACACTTTTCGGCTTGAGAAAGCTGCTTGATCTTGGCTAAAATGTCATCAAAACAGGTAAATTCTCCGTCCTTCATCAACACCTTAAATATTTCCAGTTGAACATTCAATGTTCTAACATCAACAGCCAAAAAAGTGGGGGGGCTTTACAGCCCCACCCCCTGCGCCGTCCCTGTTCTTGCAAAGGCAAAAAGTAGTTTTGGCCGCCTTGCCCTCCAACAAAGTGCCTTAAAATATCTCTCTTAAATGCGTTTCCTCTCAAATTTTTGGCATCAGCACGATTCCAACTCATCGTTTAAAGGAAGCATTGGTCACGTGACCTCTTAATGCAACTGACCTATTCCTGCCGAAAATTCTGCTTTACTGATGTCTTTGTCAGGCGTAATTTGATGGACAGCCAGGAAGACCTCCCATAATTAGAGTTCCGCAGAATAAGTCATATACTGAATACCTAAATAGCAATTTAAACAAAACCAACAGCTGGACTCAAGGTACAAGTTTCAATCAAGTAAATTCAGGCGAACAGGCTTGTGTTCTTACAATGACAAAGTTCAAAAAGATTGGTTTAATCAGTTTTACGCACAGAAATTACAGAAAAGGTTAAAAACCTCTCAGAAGACCGGCAGTATTTTAATTACTGCGATGCGTGGATCATGGTTTTTCTTTTAACGACATGCGATTTGCTTTGAATTCGTAGAACAGTACGGATTCTACTTATTTTATATAGTTAAAATTTCAAAGTTAAACAGTGCCTCGTCGATGCGCCGAAGCACCTCAAAGAAGGATGAAGTTGAAGGATCGTATATGTGAAGATGGACTAAGAATTCAAAATCTCCCTTCAAAAGATCCTTAATTTTGCTGTAAACACCGAATGGAAGAATAATTTTTCCAAGTTCTCTTGCATACAGTAGTTCCGCTTGACAGTAGTCGCTCTTGAAGTACTCCTCATTTAGCCACACTATGAAACAATCGCATTTTTCGATGGCGACTTTCAAGGCTCCTTGCAGACGAGCCGCCATTGGCATGTCATCCTCATCTAGCCATGTTTGAAAACCTACAAATTTCAGCCCATTGCGGAAGGTTTCCATCAGTGGCTTGTCCTTTGATTTGTGGCTCAAAAAGAAGGTGAATTGCGGGCTGAATTTTGTGTACTTGATCTTTTTTATCACAAGAGGCAAGACGTTTTCTTCCAGGTACTTACGAAGCTTCTCGGGGCTCCCGACGCTCTCGTTTACTCGACGAAGCTCGGACAAATTTGCTAGCTCTTCCTCCATGTCGAACGACTCCATTTCTTCCTTGCATGTTATTTCAGGTAGTTACATTTCACTATTTCCATCGTAAAAACGGTACTTTCGGTTGAATTATACTTAAAGTTCGTTAAACGCACCTCGATTTCCTTTTCGAGAGCATAGTCAAAAGTAAATCGAAGCCACCAGAATCCGGTTTTACTGTTAAGCCCGTGGTTCTCCTTAATGTCGATGTTATACTTGTTTAGGCCTGACTGAATGGGTCTAATTTGTACTTTGGACAGGTCCATTTTCCCTGCTAGCAATGCCATTCTTTTACGAGTATTTTTGACTCTGTGTTTGTAGTAGGCTAGTGAATCGTTCACCTAGATTAGATCGATGCGCGTCAGTAATTCGTAAGCGGAAGTATATTAGTGATGCATGAAAAGCGTTCAAGGTTGGAAACTGGGGTAGAAAGATCTGAGCGAGCATCTTATTTTTAAAAGATTAACTTTTTAAAATATTGATTTACTGTATTGACTCTTTTTGTAAAGAACATTTATCAGTAAGTTTGCATGCAGTGATCGGCCAAACCCAAGTAAAACCTCTTCAAAGCATAACGGCTAATCTGATATGAGACAGAGAGCAACGCATCCTCGGAGACCCAGGGGCAGTTGGTCGGGTCGATTTCACCACGAACATTTTATAGACCCGAGTAACTGCCCCTGGGTCTCCGAGGATGAGAGCAACGGGGCGACGGTGCATCCTTCCCAAGACGCAATGCGCGCTTTATAAAGAGTAAGGAGGGACACCTGGAAGCAAGGCTGCAAATTATGGTTCCTGGGTTTATATTTTAGGGTTAGGGTTACTTCATTTCTTTGAACAGCGTATACAAGCTCTTCCATCACTGTCTGATAAACTGCAGAGTAATTTGAAATGCCGCTGTTCAGTTCGTTGTTCATTACACTTTTGATTCCATCAGGTTACAAAGCTGAATAAAGTAACCTTTTCAAACAAAACAAAGCCCTTTGGATGAAGGTGGGCAGATATTCTTCCCTGTCACTATCTTGACTGAAACGATCTCCTGTTGTTGAAACATTCTTCTCCTACCAGGCCTACGAGCACCACGCAGAGGTTCTTTGGGGTGCTGGGAACGCGTGAAGGTTTAAGGAGGATACTTTTTCTGTACTTGCCTCCACAAAGTTTAGAGCAAATGCACCTCAAACTATTTAAAGCGCTCTTAAAGTAGTACTTGTCAGCTTTTTTCAAGACTTAAATATGCGTGAACGGCCGAGTTTGTTAAGGTTTTTCTCCTGTCCATATCTCTTTTGGCAGAAATCGTTAAGGTTCTTACAGTCCACACTAGAACAACAAACTACTTATTCAGCAAAATGATTTGTACACGTCACGCGTGTCAGTCCCCTACAACCTGTAGGTAAGTGACGGCATTTTTCTCTTGATTAATTAACCCATTCCCCCTCGAGCCGCCTGTAAACGCCCGTGCGGATCCACGTCCCTTCTACCGCTTGTGATGTCATCAGTTTTAATGGTCAAGGACAACTTTGTCCGCTAACGTGAACAGAGTGAAGAGATCTTTCAAACCATACCAGAATGAGCACAATTCAGGCAAGGGCACCTAAGAAGAAGGCAGAAAACCATGTAACATTGACCTGAAAATTCCCATGAACATCTTGTTCCACTACCCACCTACCTTTCCTGTCGTGTAATTCTAAGATCCTAAAAGCTTGCCTAAAATCTTTTCCTACAAAATAGGAAACGCCTAATTGCCCAGCCAAAGAAAAAAAAATGAGGTAAGAAAAGTGAAAAAAGAGGGGAGGAAAGAAAGCAAAAAGTAAAAGTCAAGACTGCTTTGTCACTTTTAAACCCCAAAACGAAAATTTGCTTTCTGCGCATGCCCAAACTAATATGCAAGCTAATATTTTACATCTGGATCAAAAGGCCACAAAGTATATGACCTGCAAATGGGTTTATGGTAAGTTTTAGCTCTTTATAGCACGACAGTGACCAGAAAATGGCTCGACTAGCTTCAAAACATGTTTTTCGGTGAAATTTCCAGGAGCAAATGGTGAAGATAAAATAAAATGGTAAATGCCACAGCTGGGTACCGATCAAGATACAGATGGGAGATTAGGTGAGCACTCAAAAGCTTTTTTGTTTTCATACTTAGCAACTTCACATATGCATCCATAACTGTCTTAATGGTAACACGCTGAGCGTTCACCATTTCCAAAATAGAAATACAAGAAAACCACATAAATTAGCAAAAAGATCCCATGATAAATGAAAGACAAATATAAGAATTGTAGGACATTTTTATTTACAAACTCTCAAGTGCATTCAGATAATTGGCATCTGTATTCAGCTTAAGTTGTTAACAAGTCAGGAACTATAAAGTAACCACAGGATTGCAGCATCCTGTACAGCTGTCTTCTACAATGTCTGCCAAATAAAAATAACAAGAAAACCGTCAAAACTCTCTACAGTTGTGTGGTGGTTCTAAACTGATAATATTTTTTAAAGAGCTGAAAAAAGTTATGTTAAGAATTAACAGGAGGATACAGGGAAAAACGGACAGTTCCTCTCTCTGTACACACTGGATTTCATAGTTTCATTGTTCAGTGGGCTCTGTACAAATTTCCTTACAGCAAAACATAGTTTGCTACTTTATTCATAACTCCTCATACTTCATTCAAAACATGCAAGAAATAAAGTTCGTTGGTTGGGTGGGGGGGTAGTGCACTGAGAAAATAACAGACGGGTCGCATACAGAAGTGGAACAATACACTGTGTTTCGCTTATTTGTTCGCTGCTGCAAATCTTTGATTACGAGCCCAGCCCAGTTGCTAGTGAATTCAACCTTTAAAACTGACAGATATATGACGGACTTTGTACCTTCTGCCTATTTTTTGAGCCTGTGATCTGCTCATCTCTTTCAATCATTCTCCTATCAAAGTCATCTAAATTGTATCTTCTTGGCTAAAACAAATCAGAGATGTCAGCAGTTATTCGGAAGATCCCGAACATATATGCTTAATATTTATATCGATATTAACTGATAATGACACAGATCTCTGAGATGGAGATTTCAAAAGGGTCTACAGTCAACTCTCTCTAAGACGGACACCTTTGGGACCGGTACTAGCTGTCCGTCTTAGAGAGATGTCCGTCTTATAGAAAGTCAAATAGAGGGAGCAAAGAAAGGCAGGGACCAACTCTAGGTGTCCGTTTTACGGAGGTGTCCGTCTTATAGAGGTGTCCGTTAAGAGAGAGTCGACTGTACTTAAAACAAAAATAAACGCAAGACCTATAATCGGCTATGCCTGCTTACCTTGCCCTCCAAAAACAGCTTATCAATAATCTTCAAACCATAACCAGTAATGGTTATACACCCTGCCATGATAATAAACGGAGGCAACGCTTCGTACCACATCTTTAGAAAGAAAAAGCAGACCTTTCAAGCGTACTAATATCCCAGCCCTCTTCAAAATGGCGGACGTCTTGAAGGCAAAGGTCAGTGGTTTGTATCGCGGGCACTTGGTAGCTCCTTCCCAGTGTTCCTCGGGTTTGTGGGGGAAAGGAGAGAAAACGAGCAACCATGCAACAATTCACGTATTTTGAGGTTGTTCTAATTCGTGAACTGTCTCGATTGTTGCTTACATTCTCCGTGTTATGTTAGAATCAATTCGTATCAAGAAAGTAGAAGTGGTAAGGAATTTCGCCATTATCGCAATGATGGTGTTGGCGCGATTCATCGCGGCTTCAAGTCGCACTTGCGTTCACTCTGTACCACCAAAGAAGGCTTGCACAGAATATACGGCCAGGGCATTTCTTCACCGCGTGGGAATAACAAAGCCTGCTGTGAGCGTACAGTGTACAAAAAGGAACACATCAACAACTCCTTTGGAACACTGGACTGATATAAGTATTTCAGAGCTAAAGGCCATGTTGTCATCAAATAACATTCAACTATTTGACGTCCGGGAACCTTACGAACTGGTTGAAATGGGAAAGATAGCTTGTGCTACAAACATACCATGTATGTAGGATTTGGCAAGATTTCCGCTCAACTCCATACATTAATTATGCATACACCTAGACTTCGGGATTTCCGCCATTGTTCTGAAGAATTTTTTTTGGTCAGGTGTTGTTTCAAACGCCTCAAATTTCGTGAGAAGAGAGTGACCACATATAGAGCTACACCTGTACTACAAATATTGCATTATCTGTGTGAGATCAGTGAAGATGTCTGAAGGAAACTTAATGTGTCATCCAAGATTAGCCTGGGACCAGGCTCAGCAGTGGGGCAAAAAGGCAAAAATGGGGTTAAATAGGAAATATGGGCGAGCAAATTAAAGAGAGTCTAGCGGTAGCCTGGGGAGGGGAAAGGGCGCAGGAGCCTGGAGACATGCCTTTGATGCCACCATTCCATGATACTAGATTCTGGTATGATGCTCTGATTGGTCAAATGTCTTCACGTTGACAGATGCGCGGTCCTGTCGACAGTATCGCACTCATTCAATATCACACTCCTAGTGAGAAAAGTTTTTTTAAAACCCAGATTTTGAGCAACCAATAGAAATATTTTTGGGAGAATTTTCACTTATCCCTCAGCTCCAAGAGTCTTTATTTCTCTTTGCCAAAGCTGGTGTTACTCCAGTTGCTGATCGGAGCTAAGTAGATCTGTTTGCTTGCACTCTTAAGTTCATCTTGAATTCGAATAATAAGCTCACACTGACATCGGTGATGAGAACTTGACGTGTTGACATTTCAATGACAAGTTAATTGCTGGAGGGTAGATCAACAGCAGCAAAGGCATGTCTCCAGGCTCCTCCACCCTTTCCCCTCCCCCAGACTACCTCTTACAGCTCACTTTGCTCACCGATTATTTTTTTCACCCGCCAGGTTTTTTTCTCCTTTTCCCCCAATGCCAAGCCTGGTCCCGGGCTATTTGAGATGAACAATATAAAATAAGTTCACATTCCACTGGTTATGTGTATGCTTGGGTGGATTAAATTTCTTTCTTAATTCAAGATTTCCCTCAGCAGTCAAAGCTGTGTTTATATATTTTACAATTTAATTTCAGCATTGAAAAAGTAATCTTTAATTTGTTTATGTTTTCAGTAAGAAAAGTTCCAGAGGCCTTTACAATGGATCCTGATGAGTTTGAGGAGCAGTACAATGTAAAAATGCCACAAAAGAATGACATTAATATTGTATTTCACTGCCTGGCGGGAGTGCGAAGTAGAGCGGCAATGGAAGCAGTACATCAAATTGGTTATACAAAGTAAGAAATCTTAATGACCTGTGTTAATCAGTAAAAGCCAATTGCTGGTGGTCTTTCACCACGTAGAAGACCTCTTATGTTTTATAAGATATTCGCCCCAAACTCAGACAAAACTAAAACCCTGGTTAATTTCGTCTGCGAAACGGCACCAAAATCCTTGTCCTTTCTGGGCCCCCGTCTGTGTACCAGGATTTAAGTATGCACCATGATTGGCGGGTTACAAATGCCATTGTCAGTTTGCCAGTCAGGTTGAAGGGAAATTCAAAAAACGCATTTCCGGTAATTTGTTGAATCCACTTGGGGCCCAGAACAAGGATATCGGCACTGCTTCGCAGACGTTACTAACTGAAGTTAAATTACATCTGCAAGGCAGGCTAATAAGATATATGAAAGAAGGAAAACATGTTATTATGCTCCATTCTTCATAGGAGGAATAACATTGTTTTAACAAAACAATATATTGTTGTTAACAGCATTGTATGTGATACCTAGAATGCTGGAAATTGAATTTCTAGGTCTCAAGATGTCTTAAAGTTTTAGTATGACACTTGAAGAGGTGAAAGGGTGAAAAATTCAGGCAATTTTGATGTTAACATGTCATCTCTTAATTTATCTTTTAGAGCAAGACATTATCCAGGAGGTTTTGAAGAATGGGCAAAACTTCACAACTCAGAGAGATCTAAAGCTTAAAAGGATTTAGGACTTCATTTTGTGGTCAAAATTAAGTTATTTTTATCCTAATTGACTCAGTTGTTCACAAATTTACAGGATTGTATATGTAATAGGCCTTTTTCGAGCTACCTCAAGCCGCTGTTTTAAAGCAAGACTAAGTGCGAAGCCGTTGAAATGAAAATTATTTTTCATTCTCATGCAAATAAAACTCATTTTCTCCAGAAAGTTTTTCACTTAGCCTGGTTTTGAAAGTAAGAGATTTTGGAACTCGGAAATGACCTATTACCAGGAAATAATCACTATTAAAAGCAAACGCTTAGTACTTAGGTATAGGTGTATCATAATGTAAAACGTTCAACCTGGTTCTCTGTTAATCAGAAATTTTTAAAAATATATACTGAGTTTAGTACTTGTTTGAATTTGTTTGTTTTTAACAGTTTTAAGACACAATTTGCAAAATTCACTGTCAAAACTTCTTTCACATAAAATATTCCGCCTACTGGGTATATAATTTATACCGATTAATGTTTTAATTACGGAGCGTGCTTAAATCGTTTCCTGTGAATTCGTCTACGTGACTAATCACCTAGTACTGTTAATTGTCAACCGGTTAGGTTAACTTACCCACTGCAAAAGCTTATAATATCAAACGTCTCAGTGCTAGGAAGGACAATTTAGTCCTCGTTCTCAAAACGTGTCATAGAAGATTAATAATATTCTAGTGGGGTACAGTTTTTACCGTTTGCGTTTCAAAGAACCATAGTGGGAGGAAGTTGCCTTTTAGCCGAATTGCTGAATTACAGTTAAAGACATCTTGTACAACTTTGCTTAGCACAATGCGATAAAGAAAGTTTATCGGAAATATAAGAACCGTCCAATTAGTCAGTGGCGTTTCCCCGTTTCCCTTGAATTTACGAGTCAGCTGTTAAGGAAGTAAACCTTCGACCTTTGTATGTAGTAAATAATAGTAAACTGAGGCTTTCTTTGACAAAGACAACTCACAGATCGATTAATATGCCTATTCATGATCTCTCAACCAAGTTTCTCATATTCTCTTTCTCTTCTTTCTTCTCCTTTTCACCTCAGAAACGCCTGATACGCTGCTGATACTCAGGCTAGCTACATATTCTCGTGCAGGGACAACGAATTTCTTCTAAAACTCACCCCACTTAGTTTTCCTTCGCAACTTGGAGATTTTACAGTGAGTTACTTCCGCATATTGAAATATGTCGGCCATGGAGATATTTGACCCGGGATACTTTTGATTTCTGCCCATTTCTGGGAACTCCAATGTTAGAAAGGGTTGGGGTTTTTTGAGTCCGTTCTCTGCAGGAAACCTTATAGAGACTTCCACTCGTAAGGTTAGGAAACTAAATCTCGAATGATAATGCAACTACCGCGGGGGTTGCGCTGTTTTCTGCATAATTTTCACGATCACAATATGGCTGTTTCAGAAAAATAATCTGCAGTATTTTCTTGAGGTTTTTATAACGGAAAATTTGACGAGTCAAGCATTATTGTTTTCAAAGTTTCAAAGTATTTTTTTGAAATTTCTTTTCCAAAGATGGCAACTTTCGTTCTTTTTCAGTTTTTGTGATGAACTAGCTAAGAGCAGTTGGGTAATGTAAAAGACACAGTTACTTGAGAGCAGAGGTTTTCGAACTACACCCAACAAAAATTTAAACAACTTGGGGCGTGCATGTAATTTGTACTAAATTAATTTCCTTTAAAAACTAAAGTCAAGGTAAATTGATAAGTATTTCCGAGGGAGATTTGAGGAAGTGATACTTTATAACTGACTGTTGCTCAATTCTGTAGACCACAGGAAGTTGTTAGCCTCAGCATCAGTCATGGACAATCTCCCGAAATGAGAAAAAAGAGCGAAAGAAAGACAACTAGAAAAATAAAGATTACAAAGTTTCGTAACGATCTCAGAACTGATCATTAGATGAAACTATTGCGTCATTTTTATGCGAGTTTTTCTTCAATCAACAGGAAATCTGTATTTGCGAGTGCACATCACCGGTCCTGAAGCGGTGCAAAACGTGCAGCTCCTCACCGGCATTTCTAATTTGTGCGTGATTTCTCACGTTCCAGAATTGCGTTACTTTCGGTCACACTCCGACGCCTACAATAAAGACGAATTTTTTATGTTGAAGAAAGAGTTAATTGGGTAGCTTTAAGTATAAATGGGCCTGATTAGGGGAAATAAAAAGTTCAAGGCACAAATGTTTAAAGTCGTGCATTTTAACATTTCTTTTCTTGAAACACCTTGACCAAACAACCAATTTAGTTCGTGACGTCACAAGAGCGTCACATCCATGTCATTTCAATCTCGAAATGTCCACACTGTACATAAATACGGTCAGCACCGTCCGATCAGTATTCTACTGACTAATTTGGAGAAAAGCTTAGGAGAAAGATAAACGACCGAGAAACATTTTAAAATAGTCATGGCCCTTCGAGCGGTTGGAAAATTATTGTCACAAAGCGCTGTACCACGTTTGGCTGTTGTCAGAACGCTTTCTGCAAATGCCGGTCCGAGAAAACGAATATGGAATTGTTATAAAGAAACAGAAGGAGAAGTAAGATTGGACTGTCTCAAAGATATGTTAGTGGATGGTGACATTCAACTGTTTGATGTTCGAGAACCGCACGAACTCGCTTCTTCTGGACGAATACCAAAGTCTACCAACATACCTTGTAAGTTTCAAGCGAGATACCTCTTTTTTTCTGTTTTGTTATAGGTAACCGGTCATTTCGCCCTGGTTACTTTAGTAGCTGTCTGTTTTCGGGTCATTTAGCGCGATTCAGTTGCAATGTTCCTCGTTTTATAAGCCCGTTAAACATATTTTTTTAGACTGACGCGATAGGATCGTCCAGGGTAACAAACCCGAAACATATTAATATACCCCGAAATTACCAAAATTTTCATCTGAAAATATACCAGAAAATGAAAGAAGCTTGGGGAAACCATCTACTTGAAAATATTTAATAGTATAAAAGTATCTGATGGATACTGTATTCTTAATTTAAAAAGACCCCCGTTTTGGTCGACTGAAATAAGAGGCTGTTTGGAAGTGTTTATGTATTGAGAATTTTACCCACAGTTTGTTTTTTGCAAGGCTGACTGATTTAGTATAATCAATTCCTTTAACCAAGTAACGAATAAGACTGTATACGTTCTAGTCTCCCTCGCAGCCGTTTTTGTCTCGTTGCGTAAGCGTTACGTGACGAGACAAAGACTGCTGCAAGGCCAAGGTTCGGAACCACGTGCCTCAGTGACATGTATAACTCAAAAGCGTGAGCAATTTGACGATTCAATTTGATATTGAGGCCTCAAAAAGACACAAACAATTTTAAATAATATTATTTATTTCCATTGTTCAGGATCTAGACCTCGCTATAAAGATGAAGTTTGCCGTAAAAATTTCAAACACAATAAACCAATTTTTTTTGTTTTTACTCTTATTTCAGTGAGTGAAATTCACACAGCATTTCTGCTGAGCCCGGAAGAATTCAAAACAAAGTATGGAATTCCAAAGCCTAAAGTCACAGATGACAATCTTATATTTCATTGTCAATCGGGACGAAGAGCTAAGAAAGCTGTAGAAGAAGTTCAACAACTTGGCTATGAAAGGTATGTTATTTTTGGAATAAATAATTGTTGTTAACAATATCAACTCCAAGGCAAATTTAAATCCTGTTATCAAATGAGTATTTAGGTAAAATATTAAAATGCTAATGTTAGATTAATCATTGATCTGCTACCTATACTGTACTGGCAGATAAGATGTTGTAGAACTGTACATCATAATAAACAGAGGCTTATGCAGCTCTCATTAACCATTTATTTTATTGATTTTTTTAAAGGGCCAATAATTTCATTGGAGGCTGGTCAGAGTGGGAGTTTTACATCAAGAGGAAACCAAGAAATGCACCTCGTAAAATCGCAACAGAGCATTAAAGATGTTTTTTAGAAAAAGAACTCCCAACAAAACAAAAGGTCAATCAGAGCTTCTTTAAGATAGGAGTTGATCTCTTCAACAGAACAACCAGAGTAGAACAGACAGAAGAACTGCAAGACAGTCTTGATTTAACAGTAGAAAAATTATGCTATTTTTTTACAGGGATATTATAAGAGTGTGGAAAAAATATGAGCATGTATTAAACTAGTGATATTGCCTTTTAAAACAGAGGTGACACATCACACAAGTGGCAAGTTTCATATACCTCTGCATTTGTGGCTCATTCTTCTCTCCCTGAGGAAAACAAGGAACTGCTTAACATTATTAATTTTATTAATTAATTAAGTTATTTATTTCTTCTATGCTCAATTTACAAACTTTTTGATAAATACTGCAATTTCTGTAGAGCTACAAAACAAAGAAAACAAATACGTTGTCATTGAAGTGGTTTTACAAGGTCTAAAATGTAAAAACAACTATAACCAACAATAACAGACATTTCATCTACAGACTAACAAATGGGTACACTTTTTTATTAGTCTGAAAGGATGTGTTTTAATTTCTATAAATATTTTTGTCGCTAGTAATGGTAAGCTGGAAAAATTTAGCTAGAAATAGAAATGATAAATGTGTTATTTTAATTTAGTTATGTGTATTAGCCAGTAATTTACCTAATTTAGGTGGTATATAATGGTAATTAAGCATAGTGGAGTGCAATTTGGTCTGAAAAAGATGTTTTACATATTATGATTTATTTAAAAAATATTGTTTCCTTGTGCATACTTCTAGTCCCATGATTTATTCGGGGTCATATGCCATTTTACGGCAAAAGGATATGTGTAATATATAATAAAGTTTTTGATACACACTAGTATTTATCATAATAAAAGAACTAGCATTTTATTAAAGTATCATTCATTGCTGGTTGAAGTTATTATTATTGCCTTGACATTTACATGAAGCAGTATATTAGATTACTGAGATCCTAAGTGATGTTTGATGTTATGTCAAATTCTCCCTTTGTTTTGTTATTAAGCAAAGGGTAATTTAAGGAGAGAAGTTATCAATTCACTTATGTCCTTCTGTTCCATGTACCCCTTGTACTATGCTTATGGTTTGTGGTTTTTCAAATTTTGAATTCCCCCCCAAAATACTTCAGAACAGAATTCACTAGACTGATTGCAAAATCCATTGGCCCCTAGTTATCAGACACTACTTGACTTTCTTTGCACACTACTATACTCCCGGGGGGGGGCACTTGGGTATTTTTTGGGTGGGTATGTGCCGCCCGGGACTCCAAATTGGCACCCCGTTCTAAAAAAAATTTCCCCTAAAATTGATACCCTGTTCTAGAATTCACCCTAAAACTCATACCCCGTTCTAGAAATGGGCCAATTTTTTATACTCCGTTCTAAGGTGCGAAGAAAACAACAGTTTGCTTGTTAACGCATTGAACCGTATTTTTAAAAGCTATCTTTCCTTGAATAATTTCAAATGGCTGCTAACAAAACTGGAGCTTTCGTACGTTCGAAATATTATACCCCGTTCTAGAAAATGCCTCTGAAATGGATACCCCGTTCTAAATCAGAAGCTTCAAAATCACGACCCCGTTGGGCGGCACATACCCGTATAGGTAATGTATGGGAGTACCCCCCCCCCCCCCCGGGCTATACTAAAACCACACCATTTCCCCCCAAAAGGTTTTTTTTAACACAAACAACCCTTTGTTTTCTTTTGGCGCGAGCGTGGGCCCCCTGTGTCAAAATTTATACATACCTGTTATAAAACAAATAGGGTTCGGTAAATCGTGTCCCCGTTTTAAAAACGAAACTTAAAAAACCCCCCCCCCGTGGGGCGGCCCACACCCATAAGGTAAATTATGGGGGTCCCCCCCCCCCCCCCCGGGACTATACTAAACCAACACCATTTCCTCCAAAAGGTTTGTTTGTAACTGACACTACTCTTGGCTTCTTAGTGCAGCGAGGCTGGGCTACCTGTGACTAAATATGATCATGACTGTTATAACAAAAATTGGGTAGCCAAAAGATTCCTAACTCCCAAGCTAGAGCACCTTTTTTTATAAAAAAAAACTTGAAATAATCTTGAATATGACATAAAAGATTTACCGGACAGTTCACTTTTAACAGACTACTCATTAGATCAGATAGTAAAATATTGTTTGCCATAAAATATTCATTGCCCTCAAAAGGTTTGGTGGTCAGTGGGGGATAAAATAAACAACCCCTTATGCACCAGGTTTCACAAGTAAACTTCGGCAATATGTGGCAAGATCTTTTCCCTCCAAACCTCTTCCTGATCTTTTAAATGAATGTGACACGCCCGGCGATTGAGAGACATTAGGGCCATTTAAACGAGGAAAAATAAGACGCGTCTTACATAAGACGCGTCTTAAATAAGATGCGAACTTTCCGTATAAACGGCACATTTCGTCTAAAATAAGACGCGGCTTAGCTAAGACGCGTCTTATTAGATAAGACATGCTCGTATAAATGGTACAGTTCGCGTCTTATTTAAGACGCGTATAAGACGCGTCTTATTTTTCCTCGTATAAATGGCCCTAATGAATTAATTAAGTCAAGCTTAACTTATATGTCGATCAATAAGTCCCACATTTAACCTTCGATCCGGTCGGATTTTAGCAGCGCTCTTTCTTGACTTCCATTTTCTTTCGCTTTGTCCTTGTCTTTCCGCAGAAAAAAAAAATAGGAACCGAAAGCAAAGATTCAAGGAAATCAAAAAACTCTCGTGTTCCTGAAACTGAAATCTGACCCGTCCCTGCCAGACTCAACTTGAAAACTAAATACGGTACAACATGGTTTCAACAATTAAGCTTAGGTCTAACTCGTCGAATTCATGCTTAAAGTAAAATTGTCTTTTTTTAATTTAGCACCAAAGTTAACGATGAATTCAAACCTCAAAAGAGAAGTCTTTTTCCTTTCCGTAATTTTCCGAATCGAACAAAGGCAGCTATTTATAGTTCATCATTAGGATTACAAATTTTCGTAGAGGATCATGGTATATTTGAGGTCACGTGGTTCCATCACATCGTGGTGGCGCTTGAGCTGCGCCCCGAAGCAGCTCGAGTACGGGCGCCATGATAATCGAGGAAAGTTTTTGCCATCGTTCTCGTAAACGAAAGAAGTTCCGTCTGATGTAAACCCATAAATCAATGTATAAGAGTTGTTCCACGAACATGGTGATATTTGTTTTTGTTGTCGATACCTCCGCGTCTATGAACCAGAGAACGTCTATTGGGACTACGTTACTTGACGTCGCGAAAAATGCGGTGGAAACCTTTACGAAGGTAAAGTATGTCCTATTATCCCAATGGAGGCTTAGAACAGTTCCTACTTTATATGACTGACCTGTAAAATTTGCCTGCTTTAGCTGCGTCAACGAGATCAAGCGAGTAGAACGGACCGATACATGCTGGTGACGTTGGAGGAGCCGCCTGGAGCAATAAAGGTAGGCCCTATTGTGAGTACCAATAAAGCGCCTATCGACTGGATCGTCGAATAGCTTTGTACCATAGAGGATTTGCGCCAGGGATCGGGAATCGCAGAAATTTAACAGTGCTATGTAGGAAAATGGGTATCTAGAGCAGTGCTTTGTTTTTGTTTGAAAGTGACTGAGTTTTATTATTTTTTCGGTAACTTTTGTTTAGTTTGTTCAATTCACGCGAAAGGCATCATGGGTATTGTTTTGAAGTGATGTGTTTACTAAATATTCTTTGTTTATATTGAATTTGGCTTGAAAACCTGTACCCATATCATTTTTAATCATAACTATAACAAAATTCTCAAATCTGATTGGCTCTCAACTGCCCTGATTTCAGCCTTAATTGGACAGTTTAATAGGACAGTACGCGTCATGCCTAAGTAATTGGACAGTACGTGCCATCACGCGCGCGCTTAAATGGCTTTTTTTTCACTGCTAGCAAAACAAAATTTCGAATTTCTTGTGTTTTGGTTTAAAAAATAGCCTATTGTATCGCAAATTTTGTTAAAGTTATGATTACTTTGTGTCGTCCAATTCAGTCTGTAATCATACTCGTGATTAAACAAATCGGACTCCTGCTACGCGGTCGTCCGATTTTGTTAATCACTCGTATGATTACAGACCGAATCGGACTCCACTCGGTCCTGTTACCATTACTAATCTTGGTGATTATTTTTTACTCATGATTGATTGTCATGCAATTAAACTAATTAAGACTCGTGTCTAGGGATGGGTGTGAACAGAAAGGTTTTCAACAGTTCTTTGCCATCTTACGTAATAAATAATCTTCTTTGCTGGGACTTCTAAGTTAAACGAAACTTTCTGTTTTTATCACTAACAGCATATTTTCTTTATGACTTCCAGTAAAGATGTGTACTTTTTTGGGAGGGATGGTGGGAGGGGAGGGTAGAGGTGGTGTTGGGAGTGTAAAAGCATTGTAGGGTTTGCAAGAAAGATTAGACATCTTGTAATCACCTGTTCAACATTTCATCATGGTTTTCCGTAGATAAGAAAATTTGCACTTTTTAATCTTTTCCACCCAGATATTTTATAGATCAGTACAGACCATGCAATATTAAAATTAACCTTGTGATTGACCAGCATCCTATTCAAGGGGTGAGGGTTAAGGGTAGCGTCATTCTGGTTAGGGTGTACATGTATATTATTCTGTTGTGGGGGGCCGTTGTTTAATGTTGCAAACTTCTGCATTACAGTACTAGTATAATTATACTTTTAAGTTTGATGAACCTTTTCTGCACATTGGCCATATGTATGCTGTAGCTTTCATGGGACTGGCAAAGATATTGGGACATTTTTACCTACATTTTAGTGTAGTTTCCAGGTTGAAATTGTGTATGTACCTTATAAAGTGTTTTTGAATTGGCCTCAATCATGTAATCCTTGCTTTTTGCCAATAATTTCATTGCCTGTTCCAGTCAGTTTGGACCAAGTTCTCAGAAACTGACATTTTTTGGAAACA